CAGGATTAAGGTGCTTTGTTCTTCCTATCAAGTGTAGTAAACGTCTTCAATTCTCCCTACCCACAGTGATTCCCAAGTGCTTCCTTATGAAAGCAGAGATGTTTCTCGCCAGAAACAACAAGTCCACAAAATCAATTGGTGGGAAGCCGGTAGAAACGGCCTTTGTGGACAATGATGGCATCTATGACCCAGATTGTGAGAATGATGGAAAGTTCAAGGCTATCCAGTGCAATGGCACTGAAGTGTGCTGGTGCGTCAACAGTGCCGGCGTGCGCAGAAGTGACAAGGGAGACAAGAACATCAAGTGTGAGCCTGTGGAGACCTGGTGAGTGCACTTGTTGTCAACAGGATGTTCTTCTGACTGACATACCTAGCTTGAAGTGTGGTTAGAATAGCACTGCGGTTTGTGGAAGGAAGCAAAACTTGTAAATTCTGACAATGCCATGTTTTCTTTAGTTCGGTTCGTCTGGAACTGAAGCATAAAGATGTGGCTGCTCCTGACGATGTTGCCAAATGGAAGACGTATGTTACAATTGATTTCTAGGGTCTTGCTGGAAGATGTGTAATATGAAGCTCTTATGTCTTGTTTTGCTGATGTTTCTCCATATTTTTATTTTTTTGCAGTGGGATTGAAAATGCCTTACAGGAACGTTACAAGTTGGATAAGAAATTTGTGTCGGAGGTTCAGGTAAGCATTTACCATGGTTAACCAACCCCTTAACTTTGTGCTTGTGGTACACAGCCTATCAAAACCCACTTCCTCTTTTTTTCCAGTATGACAAAGCTGGCCGTCTCCTTGTTGTGGATGTGAAAAAGCCTATTGGATCCCGTGATCCAGACCTGTCCCTCATGACTTACTACATGGAGAAGGATGTGAGTCTCGTTATGACTTCTCAGTTATGCCTGATTTTTATATTTTGTAACTTGTGTGCAAAAATTCATGTCTTCACAGGTCAAAGTTCTGCCCCTCTTTCAAAACCCTCAACCATTTGAAGTCAGTGTTGAGGGATCCAAGGTGTCCATGGAGAACATCCTGGTGTACTATGTAGATGAAAAGGCGCCCACCTTCACAATGCAGAGGCTGACTGGTGGTATCATTGCTGTCATTGTGGTGGTCAGCTTGATTGTGATTGCAGGACTTCTGGTTATTGTAAGTGTCGTTTACTTTTGGGGTTTCATTTAAGTTAATGTGTGCTTGTAGTCATACTGTTGTTCCTCCCCTTTTTTTTTTTTTTTAGCTCTTCCTCTCACGGCGACAGAAGGCCCAGTACAGTAAAGCACAGGTTGGTTCATTTACTTCAGTACGATCCAAACTGTGTGGTTCTTCCCCCGAAAGGAGGCAAGCTTTTGTGTTTTAACACATTTCCTTCTGTTCTTGCAGCCCAGAGAGATGGAGACCATATCTTAAAGCTATTAATGACGTCTCATGTACTTGAGTCTGACACTGGGATGTGCTCCATGCTGAAGCTTAGACCTGCTGTACATTTGCTTGTGACATTTATTAGAAATGAAGTGTCTGTTACACGCCGAGTACAGTTTGTTTTTAATTGTTACACTTTGCTATTTAATAAGGGCTCATTTTCAACTGAATCAACGTTTTAACACTGTACAGTTTGTGACTTGTAAATTTTTAATAAAATTAGTTTGATAAACATTTGTCATGAGAGTTCTTTCTATATTCTGGCATGTGGCAGATAAACCACGCGTATGGTAGTCTTGGTAAAGCTAATTTCTTTTTATCTATAGAGCTGTATTGGTGTTGCTAAAAGAAAAGGACTATCCTAGCACAAAACTATTCCTAGCTTTTGTTTGCAACCACATGCTTTGTCCTTTTCAGCCCAGGGCAAGCAGTTGAGCTGCTCCTGTTCTCTGCCTTATGAGATTCACCACAATTCAAATCTGTGATGGAAGCTTTGTTGAATGGGACTAGTTTTAGTGTGACAACACTTGTCCAAATTTAAATGATGCAGTGTCAAGTAGACTATTTACTTCTGCGTTGCAAAACTACTTCCTGTGAATGTGAGGATTCGTTATCACTACAGGTAAAAAAAAAAAACTAGAATAAAAACATGCCGTAAATGACACTTAAAATTGCACTAAAAACTGGTATGATTATGACTAACATAACATGCCAGTTTGCGTTATCAAGCAGCATAACGGACTGGTTTTGTACAGTTAATAATGGCTTAAAAAGCGGAAGCTTTGGGTGATGTGAGTTACAAATGGTGGCATGTGCATTATCTACCTTATTTTTTTTTTTTACATAAGCATGTGTTTTAAATGATACAGGGCCTGTAGGCTCTAATAATAGACCCCTAAAACCTGTGCATTTGTACAATCCTTTTTTGTTCTTTCAAAATGTAAAACAAAAAGGCTGTTTATTAACTCGAAGCTGCTGACCATTCAAGTGCACAGGAAGACTAATAATTAAACCCATGAGAAAGCCATGCACTCAGCTGTTTGAAATACAGGTCAGACCTGTTCCTCAAGTTTCGGGCAACAAAGTTCCTATATCATTGTGGTATGACTTGTGCAAAGGCACACGTTACAATGTGTACAGCAAACACTCTGCCAAAGATGCTGCTGCATTCATTTTGTGTGACCTACTGAAATTTTACGAGCTTTTATTGCGGCATAAGTCTAAATTAAATCCGACTTCTTTTTTTCAAGAGAAATCTCCAAACAATAGCTTGGCTGGCACTTCCTTGCCTCGAGTTCTTTGCCTTTTCATCTAGGCCCCCAGTATATTTCCCAGAAGAGCCTCAAGCGTTTGTTTGTTTCTCAGACTAGTTGAGACAGGTTTGGGTGGGTCACATGTTACCCTCCCCCATCCGCACTCACACCTGAGTTGGAAGTCACACAGACTCGGTCTCTGTGTTTCCATGGCAGAAAAGGAGGGATTAAATGACAAAGCCTATCAGATGAGTGTGGGTCACAGTAAGGAGGGACATTTTCATGAGGATAGTTCACCCTCACCTGTTTCGGTTCACACTGTCAACAGTGTTTAAAAGTTATTTAATAGCAGTACACTAAAAATCACGCAATTCCTTTTAAACAAGTCAATGTTGTTAAGGTTTTTTTTACATCTTTGGCTTTAGAGTATATAAGTCATCATCTTAAGAAGTTTTCATATTTCAGGTGTTTATGTAGATCACTAGATACTCGGCATTCCTGCTGTAATAATAATACGAGTCGGCTGGTAAACACAGTAGGTAGAGGATGACTAAAGTTGTTAGGCTACATATGATTTAAAGGGCGAATGGTTCCAAGTAACATACCGACGTAACTGATAAATGGATTTGAATCAGTGTAATGATGTGAGGCAGTCTGCCAGCGCCCAGCGGAAATGTTCCTATAAAAACACCTCTTGCCAAATGGGAGGTTGTGACGTGGAGAATATCCAGTTTTTAATTTCAATGGATTATTGGGGAAATATATCCATAAGTGTAGCAACCAAGGCAACACAACAAAACAGTCATTTGTGTAATATGTAAAACGAGTTTGCATCATCAGAATACTGATGACAAGAAACCAAACAATCATTCACATCCTGTACATTTACACCC